CTTGAAAGTATTGAATTAATAGCTTATGATCATCAGAGTAAATTGACATCTTCCTCACATACATGGTCAAGTGACTTTGCGGACATGAGTGACCTTTGTATTTTTCAAAGTCTGGCACTTTGAACTTAGCTGGAATTTTCACATTTGGGACCAAACACAAGTCATGAGTATTTTTCCCGAATAAGTATTTCCCTTTAAGTGCTCTGATTTCCCTCTACATTTCTTGAAATTGGTCTTGGAAATCCTCCATCCTTTCGAAGATTCCTAAAATTTCAGTAGGTTCAGCATGATAAATGGGTTCATTTGTGTATGGAATAGTGTGAACCACGGGAGCAACAATAGTCATTATAGGATGAGGGAAAGATGCCATAGGCTGGATCACAGGTTGCACAGTAGTCATCTCAGGTTGAGGAAAAGATACAACAAGTTGAATCATGGGTTGCACAATAGACTGGTATCCTTCTGGCATGAAATTGTAAGGCATACCCCATGGAAAACCTTTCGACATTTGATGTTGCAAAGGGTTGACTTGAGCCAAAGAGGCTGGAGCAGTGACGATCTCAGAAACTACAATAGTTTGAGCTTGAGTTTCAGTGGCTGAAGTCGATGGATGATTCTGAGCAGCCATCAAGCTTTCCACCAAAGCAGTCAACTTTTCCATTCCAGTATGAAGAGTAGTAACCTCCTCGTGAAGCTAATGATTTTATTGCTATAGATCTTCCATTCTCTTTTGATGATTGACTCGAGTATTATACTGGTGAAACAACTTGACAATCTATCGGAGTGTAAAAAGAAGCAAGAATAAGACTCTAGAAAACATGTAAGATTGAATGTTGAGTGATGCATGATATGCGATGCAAATTATTATTTATTTTGATAGTTTTTTAAGGAACTTTATAACTTTTATAACTTTGCACACATCAATGGTAAAGAACTTTGGAACAACAAATCTTATTTCATTGATAAAAGTAGTAAATTACAACTTTGGAACATAAAAACCCTTTTAAAGACTTTTACAAAATGACATAAGCAATAAAAACTAGGAACTAAGATCATTTAGAATCATCATCAGACGAATGACTAAATGCGACTTGTAACTTGAGCTTCCTAATCTTCTTCTCATAGAAATCTTCCATCTCTGTCTTCTAGGCTACCAGCTGTTCAACAAATTTCTTCCATGGATTAGGAACAAGAGTAACGCCTATGAAATCTTCCTTCTTCCTCTTCTTCTCCTTAGCACATTTCTTGAGCAATGCATCTTTTTGACGAAGCTTCTCATCACGATCAATAAACCAACCATCTTGAATAAATAGCATATCCTCCTTCTCCTTCAACTGTCGAGTCAGGACCCTGTTTTTGTATTTGGACATACTATATTTTTCCTTCCAAGCATCTCTTTCAGACTCCTTTCTAGCCAGATTTTCCTGATACTCTTTCATGTTCTCAATAAGAATGACAGTAGATTACGATGTAGCAACAGGGAATAAAGGTTTCTCGAGATAATAAGGCATCTTGAGAACACAAGCCCTAGAATGAACCCATTGAAGGTAAGGCTCCAAAGAAACAACACCTCTCTTCCCTAACATGTCTCTTCCCTTTCTATGGATATGGCGCCAAGCCCTTTCAATCTCCTCCTTAGCTGCTTTGTGATCTTTTCCTTCTTTGAGAAAGAAAACACTCAGGTGAATGTTGTTTGGCTTGTCCTTCATTGGGTATCCAAACTGGAGGTGTGCAAGAACACGATTGTAATTAATTCCTCCCATTGTACCAAGAATAGGCACGTTGGGAAAAACACCACAACTATCAATGATCTTCACATCAGAATAAGCTTGATTGTACCAATCTATGTCGGAATGAGTAAGAGCCATGATTTTTTGGCGCCCATCATGGCTCCTTCTTGAGATCCTAGAAAACATCAGACCCAGGTAAATGGGAAACATACCACTGGTATAACAATGGTTCACAACAAATAATCATCCCACCTTGGTAGGAATTCTGAAGATGGATGGAATAGAAGGTATCTCCTAGCAGCATAGGGACCAAATTTCCAATAAAAAATATTCTAATGGCGTTGATATCTACGAACTTATCGATGTTAGGGAACAAGAACAACCCATTAGCCAGCAAAGCAAAGACAGCTTCAAAGGCGACAATATCCTTTATCTCGGTGAAGTAACAAGCTTTCTTCAATAAAAACTGTGCAGGTAGACCTCAGATTCCTCCCTTAGTAATCATGTTATCTTCTATCTCATACTTCCTCAAGTGGGTAACTGTTGCTATCTCATGAGATTTGGGTTCCCCTTCTAAAGCAGAGAAAGGAACACAGTCGATGATTGGTAAACCAAGTATATAAGAATACTCTTCCAAAGTGGGCATTAACTGGTAATCAGAAAAAGTGAAGCATCGATACAATGGATCATAGAACTGGACCAACGTAGTAAGGATACCCTCTTTCATCTTGCGCTTTATAAGAGGAATAATAGATCAACACTTATTTTGAAACTCCGTAAGGTTCTCAATCTTGGGAATCAAACTCTTCAACTCTTCAATCTCAGGCTCCTTGAAACTATAACTCCGAGTGTTCCTTTTTCCAAAATCCATAGTAAAAGTACTTGAGATGTCTGCAAAAATCATTCTAATGTTCCTTGAAAAACACGTTTAAAGAATGTTTATGGATGCATGAATGAATTATAATGCAACAATTGCACATAAGTTCACAAACATGGGGTTCAAAAGTTCAATGCTTAGAGCATGGAGTCAAAGGTAAAGCCCACCCCCAAGGTATGTACTAAAGGTTTAATCATACCTGTAAAACAAGGTTCTAAAGGTCCCTAGAGTATACGATCCTCTTTTGAATATTACCAATGTCTCGATTACTCGGTAATTGGCAATATTCTCAAGAGAAACTCGTCTAAGTGTAGCGTCGCGTGACAACTACTTTCGGATTACTCAGTTATAGTCTTCGCACTACACCTAAGAGGACAAGATTAGTTAAGGGTTCTACGGTTCTCAGCTTTTCTGGATCCCAGGTCAAAAGCAATAACGTCTTCCCGATTACTTGGTAAACAAATACTACAGTCAAAGGGGCTTCCACTGAGTGGGGGATTTCATGCCTCCTTCTTCGAGATTACTCCCTTAAAGTTAACATGACTATACTGCCCATCCTATTCCTAAGTGTAACTTAGTCCGGGTATAAGACTTGTCCTTTGTAAATATCATCAACACCCAAATAACCATAATATATAACATATAATCAAACAAACAAACAAATAAAAAAAACGACAAATTAGGCTTAAATCACTTAGGGATGGACCAATAAGAGGTCAATTTGTCCCCAACAGAGTCACCAATTTTATAGCGATAAAAAATTTAGTGGGGTAAATTAGAGATCAAGCTATTAATTTACTCGACTCACAAAATCAAGATTCGCCACCGCGCTTTATTATTTCCAAGGGAAAAGGGAAAAGAGAGAAATAAAGCCCTTAAATATGCAATGTAAAATAATACTTAAAAAGTAATGAAAATACAATGCGCTTTTGAAAAGAGATCTAGAGTTCAGGGGTTGGTTATACAATGGGAAGATATTAGCACCCAATGCATCTGTGGTACTATGCAGGAACCTTTTGAAATATCTGTTTTTTGGTTAAAAATTGTTTATTTGTTTAAAATGATTTGATTGGTCAAAATGGGTGTGGACGAGATTTTGAAGATGCGACGACCTAATGTCGTAGTTTTGACTTAAAGGTGTGAGTTTTAAAATTGAGTTTTTTAGGAGAATTAACTTAAGTTTACCAAAAATAGTAAAAACAAAATGAATGAAGGGATTCACACAATTGGATAAGATGTATTTGATGACATGAAGTCAACAAAGTTAAAACATTTCCCTTGGAATTGAGACAGACGAACGATATAAAGATTAAACAACAGAAAATAAAGTTAATTAGAGCGAAAATAAAAATAAAAATTCAATAAAAGATTAATTTATAAGCATATATATTTTTAAACAATTAAATAAATAACAAAAATTAGACAAATACTAAATTACAATAGTATGTATTTTAAACAATTAGATAAATAATGAAAAATTAAATAAAAGACTAATAGCATGTTGACAAAAATCAAATAAAAGATTAACTTGTAACAAGCATATATTGGAATAGTTAAATAAATAGAAAAATTAAATAAAGACTAATTTTATAATATATTTTTTTATTTTATGATAAGGGATAATTATACAAATCTAAACTAATATTGTTATCATATATTTTTACTAGAATTTAGGGAAATAAGGCTAACAAAACTAAGAAACAAAATAAAAAGGCCTAACAAGGGTAGAACCTGGGTCCTTTAAGTTATTGCAAACATGCCTTGCCAACTGAACTGTATTGTTTATCTGTTATTATTACGTTTTAATTAAGACAAAAGAGTGAAAATGATTGAGGAAGTTGGGCCAATAAGCCTAATGGGCTAACCCGGCTGGGAAAGTGTACAAAGAAAAAAATTTGGGAAACCCTAACATTTAAGCGCCTCTAGCTGTTGTTGGCATTGGGAAGGAAAATGTTGATTCATTATTATTATTGAAACTTGTTCTTGTGTTTTACCGTGAAAAATAAAAACAAGACTCTCTTCCCAACGAAAACTTCATCTCTCTCTCTCTCACGATATCCCCCTACTTTCTCTGCAATTTCTCAGATTCTCTTTGCACTCTTTCTTCAACACTTCTCTGCAATTAAATCATCTTCACTGTTCATCATCAAAATCTTCATCAATCTTACTTCAATCAACATCACAACAATTCAATAATCTACAACTAACACCTTCATTGATTTTTGCTTGCAGAGATTCCGATGGATTTCAGTATCATGTTGAAGACATACTAGGCTATTCATCAGTAGGTAATCTCAAAATACTTATCATTTCGCTACCGTTGTATATGTAATATCATATAACAATGTCGTTTGATCACTTCTGTTCAGATTTCACTGAGATTATAACCCATGTCATGCCGACATCTTGTCTAGGGTTTCTGTTGCACCTTCTCTGCCTCGGTTTTTTTCACCAAACAAAACCACATCACTGTCATCATCATCCTCAGCTTCAGTGGCCTTTGTGTCGGCAACTGGAGGAGTGGAAATAGCCTCTTCCGCCACAAGAGAAGATTCCACAATGACACCAGATCCCTCGCCAGAAACACCAAAAATTCTCAACAAAGCATCAATGTGCTTGTACCACCTAGCAACATTTCCATATTCCTCCGATGGAACTGATGCCAAAGATGAATAGACAGTGATATCATCCTTTGATGCTTGGTACCCAGTGATGTAACTGCGTGTTAAAAGGTACTCATCAAGTTTCTTCAACCCAGATTCAGATTTAAGGTTATACAATGTGACTTCCATTTTTGTTAATTTTTATTTGGGTTGAGAGAGAGAGGCAAAGTTGAAGTATCGATGATTTAAACGAAGGGAGGTTAGCAAATTGAATTTATGTGTTTCGATGGATACTTGAGTTGAAATTCTATTTATTTCATTCACTTGTTTCTCCTCTGTTATTTCTTTCCATTTTGTTCTTTTTTTGTTATTGTGTTTGGGTTGCTGATGAGTTGTTGAATATGAAGGTGAGGCAGAACTGAGTGGATGGTGGTCATGGAAACAGGAGAATGACGATGCTGATGGCTGATGGTATGAGCAATTCTGACACCGTGAGATAAACTGTTAGTTCGTTATAAAGATGTTTATAAAGTGGATCGATGAAGGTGGTTATCAGCGAATGAGGGGATATGGAAGATGAAGAAGGTTTGATGGAGGATAGTGGAGAGGCATACGTTGAAAGGAGTTTTGGAGTAGGGAGTTTGGATGTTGTACCAATGATTGGTCTTAAGGTGGAATGTTGATGATGAAAATTGGATGGAGGTAGATGTTGGTGTATAAGAAACAGAAGTCTCACGATTTGATGGTTGTGTTCGTGGATTTGTGTAGGTAGAAGAGAAAGGTTGTTATATGGTAGGGAGTTGATGGAGATGAGCGGTTCGGGGGATAATCAAAGGCTTTTATGAAGTTTGAGCGTGAGTGATGATGAAGGGTGTTGAACGATGACAGTTATGTGGTGTTTAATAAAGATGATGGTGAATCGGTTTATGATTCTGGTTACAATGCGAAATGCTGCCATGAATTGAATTTTAGAAGAAACAAATTTTTTCAAGGGTTTAAAAGGATCATAATGTATTTATAAGATGGAGTTTTTTATTTATTTGTGTTATTACTTTATGTTTTCCAGCACTTGTTATTATTATCCTAACATTCCTAATGCCAATAAAAATGCAGCAGCTCCATAACATAGTAAAGTGGTAAATCAAGCATTTCATAAGGCACAAAAGTGGTGCAAAGAAGATTCAAATATGTGAATGAGAAAGTTATGCAGAAGTAAATAGGGGGAAGAAAAAATACCTATCGGAGTCTCTCTGATGGAGCTTCAAAATAGTAAGTTTTCCTCTTTTTTGTTTTCTCTCTTGCTGGGTTTTCCTGGTTGTTGAATTTTCTATGTTTCCACTTCCTCTGATTTTTTGTGTGTGTTTGAAATTTTCTGTATTTCACTTGCTGAGTTTTTTTTTGTGTCTCTCCTTGAATTTTTTGTTGTCCCCTTTTCTGTCCATGAAGGGGTTTTTATAGTGAAAGAACAAAGCATTTAGGGGGAAAACAGTAAAACATTTGAACTATTTCGAAAAATTGTTTTGATGCTTTGTTCATGCAATTTTCTTTAGCCACATTGATGCAAATTCTGGGTTGTTTTGATGAAGGACAACAGGCTGTAGCAGACTGATTAGGCTGATTTTATAGCAGTTTTGGCAACATTTGGGAATGTTACGGGTTGTTGTTTTTTTGAACTATTTTGTAGCATTTTACAGCACTTATTTGGGACTGTTATGTGGTATTTTTGGGCAGCATCTGGGGACTGTTTTGTAGGCTGTTTTGGACAGCAAAATACCACAAAATTGGACTTTTATTGTATTGCAACAAGGCTGGAAAATATGGGCAGCAACATGATATTGGGCTGGAATTTTAGGACATTAGAAATAATAGTTTGTACAACTTGTAATTCCTTGTAACTTTGTAGTGATAAGTCCAAATAAAATTGTAACATGAATGGAAACTTGTTCTTTAATATAATTCTCAATTCCTTTGTAGTTATAAATATTGGATCTTTATAAACTTTGAATCTTGATATTAATCTTGATGAAATTCAAAATATTCCATTTGAATTGGAAAGGAATGATTGATACTTGAATGAATTGTTGAATGATGAGTAAATAATAGTGCAAGCTTTAAGACTTCAATCTTGCATTTTGTAATAGAGATCCAAATAAATTTCATGAATCGATCTTGTAATAAAATTATAACCATCATGTATTTATTCTTGTGATGAATAATCATTTGAATCAAATTTCATTTTCCAATATCTTCTTGAATAAATACTTCATGTAAACTCAAATTACCATGATGTGAATCCATTAAAATAGTCACACAAAAATAATCTTGAATAAATATTAATGAGATGAACGATTATTTTGAATGAGCCCCTTTGATAACCTCTACTTAATTAATGCTTGAATTCTCATGATGAAAATTCCAAGCATTCCGAATAAATTCTTCCAAAGAGATCTTGAATTTAATCACCCACTCTTACGAAATTCACCCCGCGTCATGTAAGTATAAGAAATCGAACCGTGCTTAAAGGCTTCGAATAATCACTAGAAAAGGTATTTGAAGCGAAATGTTATCGCGTTGAAAAATTGTCACAGTGAACTAAACTTAGAGATCTAGAAACTCTTAAATCATTATACACGTCCCATAAAGTCCTCTCATGGATTTCAAAACACAATTCGTCTTCAACTTTTAAAGGAAACTTGCATATGAATTTTGGTCGAGTTGTTTTAAATTGACTTGCATAACTTGATCTTTTCTTGTATTTCAAGAAAAAGTGAAACACACGTGAACCAATGGTCATGGAACTTTGATAGTTCTTTTTTTTTGAATTTGAGAGACGCTTGAGACCATCTGTTGAAACATAGCATAGAAATAAACACACATTTCTCTTGATGAATCAACCTTCGAGAATCAACAATTAACTGTACTTCTGGCTTGAGAGGCTCAAAACCCTAATTGAGGCGCGACGTCTGATGCTCTTGATTCAGTCCTGTTTCTGCACATGAAATCAAAAAACAAAAATATACACTTCGTGCTTGATTATAAGTTAGTCATGCATAAGATAAAATGATTGCAACACTCGATAATCTCAGCACAGGCAATGCTTGAAGGTGAAACGTTCGAAACCGACCATGTTTTGTGATCTTGATGTATATAACAAAAAATTCAAATAGAGATGGGATCTTAGGTAAAAAATTGGGGTATGACATATATGTGTAATGATGTCATGATGTTTATGAAAAATTTTAATCAAACAAAAACAAGACACACAAAGCCTTAGGTTCAGGCTTGTATGGAGTTTATATGTAAGTACCCTCTTGAGCTTAGTTGGCTCAACCTATCCTAAAAGAAGTAACCGGGTTCTAAGAATCTCATATCACTGACTTTTCTCCCAGGCATTGTTTTAGCTCAAGCATCTGATTTGCAGCCGTAATATCCCGAGAGTCCAATCTCAATGAGTGTAGCATCGAGTATCAACCAACTTCAGTCTGCACCAAAGCCTTCAATCTCACTACTTTCTAATGGCTAAGTTGTGTCAACTAAGATTCTAAGGTCAGTTAGTTCTTTAGGACACCACGTGGTAGCCCAACATTCTCCTTGACTTAACTCAAGGGACACCCGAACCAACCAATGTGTCACACTAACATAGTCACCGTTTTAACCGTATCGGTATACACCGTACAGTCTTCACGTTCTATTGCTACTTACCTAAAATGCCCCATATCCGGGTATAGGATCTTTATAAGAATAACCCAAGCATGTCCCGAAATATAAAGCATACAAGGAAAACAAGTAAAGAAATAAAGGTGAACTATCTCTAAAGGTAACCCCACTTTTAGTTTTTCCCCAACATAGTTGCCAATTTGGTAATACGGTGGGAGAACTGACATTTGGGTTGTGCGTTTGATCGCAAATGTTGCGGTTAGCAATAGTTGCCACCGACTTTTCTTTTATCCAATATTTATGAAAGGTGAAAATAACAAGAAAAACCTTTTGATAATTTTCTGAGTAAGGGGGGTAGATTATGAAAAGGAAAGGTGTTAGCACCCTTTTCATCCGTAGTTTTCTACGGGCTCTTAATCTCTAGCTCATTTTTTAAAATGCTTTGTGTTTGTGTAGGTTTGAGAATATTTTGAAAATGCCTAAGTGAGGAAATTTTGTAATGATTCTCGTATCGTTGAGAATGTATACAAAATGTTTGTTTTGAAAATATTTGTGAAAGAAAGCGTTATTTTGTGAAAAGATGTTTTGTTTTGAAAAGTTTGTGAGCAAGTGACTATGAGCGTTCTACCTACTCATTAAAAGTCTTTATTCTTTTCCTCCTCCTTTAGATGGTGCTACCCTACCATTAGTTAGTAGGAAGCCCTATCGTTGGATGTGAGGGACATGTGCATGTCATCATACAGTCATAGAAGGCAACTTGTAGGATGCTTTAGCAATTTTTGTAAGGGACTAAGATCGTTTACTGAAGTCAGCATCGAGGGGCTATGATCTTTTAACCGAGGGTCTTTGATAAAGCATCCCGCGCTCGAGAGACATGACTGTTTAAATCCGAGGCATCAAGTGAGGGTCACCCTAGAGGTGCACGTGTGCGAAGTGTTTTGATTTTAGTAAATGTTTATCTTGAAATTAGGGTTTTGGTATCAGTTGATTTGAATCTTTCCATACAAACCCTAATTACTAATAGTAGCATAAAAGAATAAAAGCAGAATGTAAAGAGCGAAATGTAAACCTAAGACTATTACAAGGATTTGGGGGAAGTTACATAAAGATAATGAGTGTGGGAAGGTAAACCTACAACTATTACATCCTGGAAGAAGATACATAATAAGATAAATGCGAGAAAAATAAACCTAAGCTATTTACATTCGCAGAAGCATACTATACAATATATCTAGGAAAATAAAAAAGAAATATGAAAATAGAAAACAAAATACAAGTAGATGTGAATCCATGAGTTTATTCGGTAAAAGTTATGACAAATGAATTGAAGTTGAAAGTATGTTTTTGTTATTTTGTGGTTTATGCTTTAAAATAGTTTATGAAGGAAATATGTACAAAAATCAAGCAAGCTTGTGAAAACAAAGATGAGTTTGGATGTTTGAAACATATGTATGCATCACAATCACATTTGAAAGTCATGGAGCATAACTTTTGATTTTTGTACATGTTTCATATTTTAATGTGAATTTGGG